GTATCTCCCCTTGACATCTGCTTACGGTCAATGTAATATCTGTGTACTCTGAAAAAAGATGGAAACAAAATATCTACAGATGGATACAGAATTATTTTTTTATATATAGGTATATGTATAATTTAAATGATACATAAATAATTTGACGGATACAACACACCAGTACATAAACAGTTGAGGTAAACCGTCAAAAAATTAATTTTTTAAGGATCAAAATCTGAAGGTTCAAGATCAAGTAAGTATGGGCGGCATTTAAGCTATTATATTCGTATGTCCAACATCGCATCATCGACACCTTCAGCTGTGCTTGATCTGCACGGTCTTCAGGTCTTCATCATCCACTACCAGTGGGTACTGGCCAAGTTTGCTGAAGTTTGTGTCCTTGCTTTGATTTACTTTCATCTTTCAGAATAGATGGCCGGTACACATCAAACACAATGTCTGTTGTATTTGGTAGAGTATGCTTGTATTGTAGGAAGAGCACCGTAGATTTCAGACCAGTGCCACTGGACCTGCTTGGCTACTACATATATTTGCAGCAATGACTGGCACCTGGCCAAAATTCAGCAATGCCACTATCTCCATGATCATATACTTGACTGTAGCAACCGAGTGGGCCTGATCACGCAGCAAAGGCAAAAGTGATGTAATGCTGACCTCAAATGGCTTTCCTCTCTTCCGTGAACCATGGTGGGCTGACCAAGTCACATCTACTGGCCCGTCTGTCACAGTGACATTCTTCAGTCACCCATACTCCATTGCCAGTTGTGGGCTCAGCAGACCAGTGTCTGCCCACTGGTGAATGAATCTGGAAGTTCTAGAACTATCTTTTTGTTCTCTGAAGTTCAACTATCCACACTCTTCACTTTTGTCTTCTTTGATTGGGTGTTGGAAAACAGAGACGCTGATTTCATGGAAAGAAGTGGTCACTGTCGTGGCAGTGGGACTGTGAACAGCCCTATTCGCAGAACTGGTGGACAGACCACACCATTCTCCATGTACTTTGGTGACTGTTGCATCTCCGAGCTGTGCAGATATCTCTCGCACCCTGTCATATGAAATGCTGATGCCATACTCGTAAAGCATTTCCAGCAACGTTCTCTTTCTTGTCTTTGTGTAGAAGGACAGCCCCATGTAAACAGGGGTTGGGATCTCTCTGTCTTTGGAGTGTCTGTGAGTCGCTGCTCCTTCTTAGCATAGCAGTTGTACTGAAGCAGCTGAGCAATTACTAAATCAAACCTCAGTTGAGATCTGATGTCCCTGTTCAAGCATGACCACAAACTGAAGAAGAATGGCTGGAATGGCCTGCTCGATGCACCCTCATAGAAAGTTCCATCAAATGTGTAGCTGTGGTTGAGCACATGTCTTCGCAAGATGTTAGTTGCTTTGCCAAGGATAATAGCTTCACTATAATAGGCTATTCTGACAAGACAAGGCCTACATCTTTCTGGAAAACCGGAAGAACATCCCTTCCCTGCTTGTGAGCTTCCAACTCAGGTATTTCTGACAGCAGTTTTCCTTAAGTCTTGTGAAGTTGATGGAAGATGCATCAACACCCAGCTGTTCCGGGCTCTAGACATACAGATGAATTATGTCTGCAAGTCGGAAGACTGCAAGACCCTCATCAGATCTGGTGATCTCCACTAGATATGTGACCAGCTATGAGAATGCCTCTGGGTGAGCATCGAGTACACGTTCCTGTTCCAGTCTCTTTGTGCCTCTGAGGTATGTTCTCTCTTTATTGTAGAGGTCTGTCAATTATGCAAAATGGTATTTGAACTCCTGTGCAAGAGCATCTCCACCTCTGAGTCTTGTAAAAGGTTTTCCGTCATTTAAAATTTGGGCGCATTTATGAACTCTGAGGCTTCTTTGTCACATATGAAACACGTTTTGCCTTCAAGGGCGGTTCTACGTAGCTTGTTCTGGCATTCTACTGGCTGAGCACATTCTGCTCTTCTTTTTCTGGTTCTCTCCAGTTTCGGCAACAACTTTGGTGATACTGCGCCTTGTTCCTCCTCAGAGTTTCTTCAATGCCACCACCATCATCAAGTCTGGCTGGATCCGGAACAATAGACATCTCATTAATTGCGTGAAAGAGGGGAATATTGGTTGTAATCATGTAAGTATGTATTTAGTGAATCAAGGCCGAGGGTTTATTCTTTTACCACTTTGATCACAATCATGCACAAGAAGGCATGGGAACGACTAGGTTCGGGAATAAAAAATATATGACCTACACCTAAACCGATCGTCCATCCAGTATCATTTAAGTCCCGTGAAATCTGCAAACCATAAAGGTAACTACATGCAAAGTAATGTAAAGCTTAGTTACTCTTAGCTCGCCTCTCCCGTGCTGGTACAACCTGTAAATTCAGGCGCGGCTGTCTATTTTATTTTAAACTACATGTAATCTACAGTAGATGTGGGACTTATTATACAGCATTGGGGGCCCTAAACGAATTATTTAGTTACACTAAATAATTATTCAGCTGATACAGAACCCCATGCTAAGTTTCACAACGGTGGCGCCATCCAGTGTGTCCTGGTTGTGCATTGACATCCACTCTTTTAGCACAAGAAAGCCAATGAGTAAGTACATGGTTCCAAATTCGGATTCTACTTAGTGAAAAATGTATTATTTGACACCAAGATCATTCAAATAGGACAAGTCTTTGCGATTTTATTGCGAAATGCAATATTTCTGTATATTCAATAGCGTCCATCTTGAAAAATGGCCGCCATTTGAATTTTTAGGTAGCTAAAAAAGAGCAATCCCCAAGGAGTATGTGTACCAGTTTTGGTGTTTGTTTCCGGAAATGAAAATTTCCCCTGCTGTTATCTATTTCACCAATTTGTCCAAGTTTTATCAATACAAATCAGAATACCTCTTTCTAGCCATTAACCTATGTTTTTCAAAGATGAAGCTAAGAGTAAAACTCTTATTTTGTTATATGAAAATATCGTAGGTCGAAAGATTACTACAACCAAAATCCCATAACACAAACCATAGCGGATAAGTTTTGCTTAAAAATAAAAGTAAACAATGATCTTACGTAAATTCAAGAAGGCATGCAGATATACATCGATTATATTGCAAATTGATTTCTAAACGAGCATAAAAACAAATATCACAAAAAGCGAGTTAACAAGCATGTAGCGGACCGTGGGTTTACGTGTTGTTAAATCAGAAATACGTGCGTTTATTCCTACTAGAAGAAGGTCCACTACAAGAACATGGCGGACTCAGAGACTGAATTCACCATAAAGAAGTGTAAAGAAAACCAACGAGACTGATATATATATATATATATATATATATATATATATATATATATATATATATATATATATATATATATATCAACAAATATATTTACAATGAACATAGACATTAACATTTGTGTTATTGTGTGAACGTAAAGAGTTTGTATTTTGATGAATGTTCGTACGTATGTGTATGTATGTATAATGTTCATGGCGTCTCCCACAAATGGGAAGACGCAATCTTCTACGAGAGCTTACATTGTAGATGTGTTCGCTGAAAATGAAGAAATGGAAAAGAGAACGAGGCAATAAATCGCCCAGTATTTATAGTGTAGGGAGAGCGTGCTCTAGTGAACAATTAGGAAATTAAGGAGTTAACTCCGACAAGCATTTGGTGAATATAAAAACTGTTTGGTACGTTATTGTTGTAGTCTATTAAGTGATAAGCAGCAAAAAATATGAATATATGTTAATTTTTAAAATGTTTTATTGCTGCCAAAATGTGACACAAAGACATGAAGACTGTTGGCAAAATGGCATCGATCAACTTTTCTCGATGCATGTTTACCACAAATCTTCAAGTTGTAAAAAAGAGTAACATCTACAAAATGGGTTATGCTTGTATCTATTTAAACAGATTTCTTAAAGGAAATGAAACTTATATTTAAAGAGTTTTCTCATACTGGAATGCTCCGATCATCTTCCAAATATCAAGATGATTTTATTCTTGCAGATGATCTCTCCAGCTGAATGAGGAAAAACTGGTTTGTAACTTTCAATACCTCAGAATCTAAGCTAGTATCATTTCATCACCATCAGTCAAACTCTGAGTTTTCTTCAGTTACAATGAACAGTTGCTCTCTCAATGATGTGCCATGCTTTGAATATTTATTGGATCTCAAGTTCACTTCTGAAGTGGAATTCATATATACAATCCATTGCTAAAGATGCTGAGAAAATGGTCGACTCATCCTCAGGCTGTAAGAAATACCTAACTCCTTCTGCAATGATTTCTCTTTAAAAGAGTCAGATTAGGCCCAAAATAGAGTATTGCTGCTATATCTGGGCAGGAGTTGCTCAATCATCGACAGAGTTCAAAATTGGTTAGACGATCTGTAACTTCTTTTTCGCAGACGCAACATCACAATTTTATCATTACGCTATCGCTATTTCATGGCAAATGTTCATATGAGTTCTAGTATTTAGTTCCACCAGTTCAGACTTTTACAGCTAGAATAGGTTATGCTACATCCACAAAGTCAAATCACTTCCCTATTCCAAATGAAGAGAGAAAGTTACACGAAGGCAATTTTTCCCAAGAACTGTTGCTTTGTGGGGAATGATTCCTTGAACATTACAATCTTAATCTCTTCAAGTCAAGGGTCAGTTGTTATCTATCCTTCTTTCATAATCTTCACTTCCTACCACCTCCTCTTTCATTCATATCACCCACATCATTTATCATAAACATTTAAACAGTATACCTTTACTTTGAGTGATTCTTGAGCTTTGAATTTACAATGTATAATATTTTTCACTTAACATTTCAACCATCAAAGCTTAAAATTGGTTATGCTAATTAAAAAAAGCATATCAACAAATTTAGTAATTTTCAGCTAATATGAGATGTTTATTTTCTTAAGTGTTTGTTTTATCTGTTGCAGTTGGCAAGATGCGGACCTATAATAATCTGCTTTGGGGAGGGTTTCCCTCGCAGTAACATCTGACTGACAATCATGCAAAGAGGAACAGTTGCATCGAGAAGGGCCTCCCTCGAGCTACTAACCGCTGGAAGCTCAAGTTCATCACCAAGTTACCTGAAAAACTATCGTTCCGATAGCTTTTCTTCCAAGTATGGCCTCTCCAACATTACATCAACCAACTCGGTTAGGCTCACTAACAACGTTTACTCCCGTCGTTTACCTGATGGACCAGGTCCCCTCGATAGGAAGGGCAAACCCTTCTCTTCTGACTTTCGCTCCAGCCGCTTGTCCCGCTTTGGGGACAACACCCCGAGTAGTTTGTTGTCATACACAAAACCATTAAAATCTACGGACTATAATCCAACCAACGGTTATACATCGAATTATTTGTGCAGCGGTTATTCATCTACGCTGTCTCGATCGTATCGATCCCCTGTCACATCTTCATCTCTCTACAGTGGTGGCACGATACGGTCTTCCCGAGCATCTAGCGAACTGCCCAGCTCAGATCGACGATATTCTGATACTGAAAGTTATGGTTCATCTCATTTGCGCGCTGCTAGCCAATCTCGATCTATAGATGTGGAACCAAATTTGACCAGAGTTCGAACTCGAGCTCCCAGCGTAGATGTGGCATATGAACGCCTGACCAACCGTACACCCAACATCGAAGTAGGTTATGAACCTTTATCCAGCCGAGCACCCAGTGTAGAGATAGAACAGCAATCATATCGAAAATCTAGCATAGACCACACTTATGATAGATCATCTAGTCGAGCTCCAAGTATAGAACATCTGTCAAGTCGAGCGCCAAGCATTGAACGCACTTCAACTTCAAGAGCTCCGAGTTTAGAACGCCAGTCAAGTCGGGGTGCACGCAAAGACATCGAAACTGCCGCCGAAAATTACAATAGCAGCAGTAGTACCAGTTCCAGTAGCTTGGGTTGGAGAGCCCGTGTCTACAGAGACAGACAGAGTCCGGTAACACCGCTAACTGATCAAACAAACCATATTAACAATGCAGCAACAAGAAGGCCGGTAAGATATTTTCCAATATTTATAATACTGATGAAAATACTTATATGGATCATACATCTGTCTATCCTATCATATGAAATTTGCAACTTTAAATAATGATATTCAAAATCATCGCCAAAATGAAATCCACGGTCCATGCCTGTCCATGTAGTTAGCCAAAGACAAAACGTTAGTATCGTGCTTCATTAGAAGAAAGTCAGTTTAAAGAACAATGAAATTATGGAGAAATTATTTGTTGTGATATGCATAATTCTATGACTAATTTATTAAAAAATAAATCAGACTCTTTCATATGTCAATATATAGAAGTAAATAGACATCCGTTGGGAATCCATTCACGGGCAAAATAGTTATTATGATTAAGCGACCATTATAATCAGCTAAAATATCTAATAGTCAATAAAGTGTTGCTTTTATATTCAAACTTGGTTATATTAAATAATATCAACTGTAGAAATAGATATCATAAAGTATTAAATAAATAATGCAGTATCACATCAACAATTGTAATTATACTAATATGAATTGCCTCGCAAGTAATACAACTGCTCAGCAAGTTATAACCAAAAAGTCCTCGCCGTTTTTTATTTATTAGAAAAAAAAGGTATACAGCAAATTTGACATACCGTTAATCCTCAAAGTAATCCCCATCGACATCCTGAACGTTCCTCCAGGTGGTAAAAATCTGGTGTGTTGAATGCAAAGAAGTCTGTGAGTGCCTGCCCTATGTCTGCCTTATTTGCAAAGTATTTCCCACGTAGGTGATTGTCCAGGGAATAGAAGAGGTGGTAATCTGTTAGTGTAAGGTCCGGGGAGTAAGATGGATGGCTCAGTGTCTCCTCCCACATGAGGCCTGGCATTATCATGGAGGAACAGTACACTTTTGCAATTAACAAATACTCGCTGCTTCTGTGTCTGTTGCACATGTTCATGTTCCAACTGCTGCGAATACAGATCCGCGGTGATGGTTTTGCCCATTGGTAGCAGCTCACAGTATACCATTTGTTGACCAGATACAGAGCATGATTTTGAGTGAAAGAAATTCTGAATGTTTCAAAAGCAATAAATATTTTCAATGATTTTTCATCATGTTTACTTTTAACTTTCTTCTCCAACTGGTATAACACTATTTCTTATCAAGATTAGTGTCTATTGACTTTTACCTACTAAGTAGGTTACCTGCACAAGTACAGATGTATAAACATACAGTTTCGTGTAAATGCAGGTTGTATATATAAACACAAATAGATTTTTATCATATTTCTTGCAGGAAATATAAAGTCAAAACTGTATTGACAATGGTATTAATACTACTTAAGGAATTTATAATTGTACTCAGTGACACATTTAATTGTAACAGATAATGACCAAATAATATTAAATATTATTTTCTTTTTCATTGCAGGTTATTAAAATTGATGACCAAAATGGAATGGTGGGACTTCAAAATCTTGGAAATACGGTTAGAAATTATTCTGTCATTATTTCATTATCATGTGCATTGCATAGAAAAGTAGCCTATGATAGAATTCAAATACAACCGGATTAACCACTTTAGTTTAACTGAACATACATTATACAATGTTGTTTACAAATTGGTATTCATTCAACTAAGAGATATTTCTATAACCAAACTCAGAAATTTTATTTGAATCCTGATAATGTGATTACATATTTTTTACAAACACTTATATACTATTAAATCTTTATATTTCTAACATAAGGTTTTAAATTTAATTCCAGTGTTTCATGAATAGTATAGTGCAGTGCATGAACAAATCTCCACCACTGCTTGATTACATTCTTTCTGACAAATATAAGCTGGATATTGCCAAACCAGGAGCTGCCCGTTGTAATGGAAGTCTACTGAGAGGTGAGTAACATAGAAATGTATGCAAAATGTCCAATTTGCAAAAAATTATGTTAGTGAATCAATGTATATAAATTATAATAAAATATTGTGATCTATCAAATGAATTTCTATTTTCTATGAGCAAACATATTCAGTCTTAAGATAAACTTGGAGTTTGGAAGTTTAGAAGGACACATCAGTGTTTATTTCCTTTTAGTACAAAAGTTTGTTTTAAGATTTAGAAATGTTAAAATCATTTCTTTGTCGTTTTATTTTTCCTATCTGTTAATTTACGTTTCACTTGATATTAGACGTTTTTCAAGTACATAAATATCTTTGTCGACAAGGATGTATTTAAAGACTACTCTCTTCTCTATATCTCTTACTATCAAATTTTGTGACATGTATTTAAAAAGGTTTTAAAAAAACAGTTAACTTGGTTAATGAAGCACTGTTATCACAAAGTCACTTGGGAAAAACTTTTAATGTAATAACAAATAAAAGTATATTATCGCTGAAAGCACCTAGTAGCTCATATTATACATGTGAAAAAAATCTAAATGGAAAGTAATATTTCTCAACTCTATCACTATATATATATATGTGTGTGTGTGTGTGTGTGTGTGTGTATGTGTGTGTCAGGTAACTGAGAATAAAACATAAAGAAAATGTGTATAACAAACTTTTTTTTAATTCTACACATGATCAACTTAAAAAAACAGAAAAAGGTTATTCAATAAACCCATTCTCAGCTTTGTGGACAGCATCAATTCAGTTTTGGAGGCATATACGACATGTATGGCAATCCTCATCAGTCCGAGGCTTGACCACTATGTCTAGCACTTCGATGTAAGTAATGGTATTGGCATTGATGCTCTGAGGTAAAGAGATGGTACAAGATTTTTATGGTTCATGCTATAACCTAGTATGGTACCACGAGAATAAACAAAACAAAGTACTGCTAGTGAGGAAAGAAAAGAAGATGTGTTAAAATAAAATTCTTTGTATTGCCGATATAAAGGGTCGGGGTAAAATGTGGGTGAGGGAAGCAACCTGGAGAATGGATGAGCCGGTAGTTCCTGGCGATGAAGCTTGTGTTGAGTCAGTTGACTTCCATACCAGATTACTATCACTATTCTTTCTGCGAAGAAAAAATGCTAGATAAACCATAAATAAGGTAAAATTTGATGGTGGATATGTAATGGTGTGGAGTCGCATCAAAATGGTAGAAGAAAATTGGTAAAAGTTGGTGGAAACCTACACAGCGAAAACTATATTAGTTTACTACAGTTTAATCTTCTGCCAGAGAAACAAATGCTCCAACAGAAACAAATAGATAGATAGATAGATAGATAGATAGATAGATAGATAGATAGATAGATTAGGAAAAAACTATGAGAAAGTGTAAAAACTTTTGTGTGAGGTGTTTTGTCCTTCATTGGTTATACAGGGTGCGATGGATAAATTACGCAAAAGTGAAAGTAACACTGACATCTCATTTTAACGGATGTATTTACCACAATTACTCAAAAATATCTTGAAGTACTAAAGAGTAAAATCACCATTGGCTTCAACAACGGCCTCCAGACGACTTCAGAATCCCCTGCATCTCTTCTGGGCGGTCTCCTTGTTTAAGTTGGTGAATGCTGTCATAATCCTTGCTATAATCATCTTTGGTATAACATAGAGTTTTGTTGGTCACTCGCTCAACTGCGCCCCCAAGGGGCTTGCAGTCTAGGGAGTTAGGTGGCCAGATGTAAGGGGTGATGTGGTTGCAGAAATTGTCTGACAGCCATGCTTGGGCTCCTCTGCTTGTTTGGTATGGAGTCCTGTTACTAGACATAGGATCCTCCAGCAGCTACCCTCTTGACCCATATCAGCACTACCTCCACAAGGACACTGTGTTGAGTCTGAGACCCTCAACAACAAATTCGGGAGTTCTTTTCTTATCCGAACGACCAGAGTGAGTTTTCCGAGCTGCCGTACATTCGTAATCACCATTAGAGTCATCCAACTCTTTCCGAATTCTCTGCACTGTCCTCGGATTGACACCCAAACACTCTGAAATGTTACTATTGGACCTTCCACTGCGAATGTCAAGAAGTACAGTATGTCGTTTCCAAATTTCTGGCTGATTGAATTGCGTCTTCGTGCTCTTTTTCTCACAGATAGTGCCCAACTGACCATACTGTACAGTCGACAAAATCAAAAACAACGCGCATGCGCAAAATTAAAAATATAAACTAGCGACAATTTAACTATCGTCTCCTGAATAGATACGCGACTTCAGACGACTTGAACGGAAGTGAAAGAAAAGAAGGGCTCTAAAGCATCACGGGAAAAAATAATTTAATTAAAAACCCGTGGATAACTACACCCACACAGGGGAAAAAGAAAATAGTCAAAGAAAAACCCAGTGGGTGGGCTAAACTACTGTTTTACTGCAGGATCGGGTTCAGTAGAAAAATTCAGCATCTTCCAGTGGCACTAGCTAAACTCAAGATTCATATATTGGTGTCATTTTTTTTATATATAAAAAACACTTTCATTTCTGAAATCTATTTTTTTATCATTTCTATATGCTCTCTCAATTGAATGCAACTAAAAAGCATCTTCTGTTGTTTTTGTCTTTTCAATTTTCTTCATTTCTTATTTTGCTTTATACAATTTATAAAGTTTTATAAAATTATTGTTTCTTCTAGAAATACCCCAAATCATTTTTAGGGAATGGATGTGAACATAGTGTGATAAGCCACTTATATACCAAATATGCATTGAGTTCTATCCTCATTGGGTGCCCCATACTTTCGGCTTTGTGCCACATCTAAGCTACGCTTGGAAAATCACTATATTAAATATGCATATTATATAATACATTGTGTAATGAGCAGAATAATAATTAATGCTTATAACAAAGATAATTTCTCTGTAGATAATGTCCAGTTACAAATAAGAGCAATTATGATTTTAAACATTTTTTCATAATTAAGCAAAAATTGCTTATTAAAAAATGGCTGCTCAAATATTCCACGTTAATATATATATATATATATATATATATATATATATATATCTGTGTGTGTGTGTGTGTGTGCATGCATGTATATCAATACATGGTTGTAGATATAAATAGATAAAGGTATATGTAAGTATGATGTACATGTAATCACTTTATCATTACTATTATTATCATTATTATTTAAAAAGAAATGAAAATTGTTTTAATGAATGATATTGATTTTGTCTGCTTACAGCATTCTCAGAAATCATGAAGCAGCTCTGGACTTCACGTATGGAGATTACACCAACAGTATTCCGTAACAGCATTAAGAAATTAAATTCTATGTATCAAGGGTCTGGGTAAATGATTCCATTATTTATAAAATAAAAAAAAAAGTCACTCCTTGCTTAACTTTCGTCTAAGCAGCTACGTGAAAAGAATATCGTTGCCCGTCTCTTTGAATTTCATTCTTTAATCATTTTACTTTATATACTTATTTCTTTCTTTCACTCTCACTCTCTCAGATTCCCTATCATACCCTTTCCGACTCATAAGATTTCCCTGTACCCATCCATACTAGTCCATCACTAGTTAACCTTGACGGTAACGCTTCCCTACTCGATTTCTGTTTTACCTCTATACCTAACTCTTGCCGCGCTACGCAGCTCTGCTCTCGCGGCCATTCTGATCACGCGGTAGTGTCTGTTAACATCTCCTTCCACTCTCCTCCAGTCATAAACCTCCTACTGACAGAATATCTTTCAGCTATCAACGCGCAGACTGGGACTCGTTCCGTGATTTCCTTCGTGACATCCTTTGGAATGTAGTTTTTTAATCATCCCGTTCAAAAATGTGCGTCTGAGGTCTCCTCCTAGGTAAAAGCCGACATTGAGGCTTTCACCCCAGCAAGAAAATACCAAATTAAATCGCGCTCATTTTCTTGGTTCTCACCTGCTTGCTCAGCCCATAGGAATCACTTCTTCCGTCTATACCGAAGCGACATGTCTGATTGCAATAGACGTCCCTCTGCTCGCAATGAGTGCAAGCGTGTCCTCAATGAAGCAGATATTGTTTTCTGATAGAATTAAACAATTTAGTGGATCTCACAAGTTTGGTTCGAAAGATTATTGGCGGCTCTGCAAGAGTATGCTTAACAACAGCAAATCCTCAATCCCCCCTCTATTCAATTAATTCGAAGTCCTAACTTCCTCAGCTGATAAGGCTGAATGCTTTACTCTGTAACTCTCATCCAACTCAACACTCGACTCGTCCAGAAAACCCACACCTGATTTTCCCCTAGAACTTAGGCTCTACTAAGTGAGATGAGCATAACCCTGTCGATGGTATTGGACATCATCTCTAAATTAGACTCTCATAAAGCAAGTGGTAGTGAGAGGATACCAGCCGTAGTCCTAAAGAAATGTACTCCTGAGCTGCCTTCAGTTTTATCCAAACTATACAACTATTACCTCGCTCATTTTTGCTTTCCAGCCTGTTGGAAGCCCTCCTCTGTTGTCCCGGTTTTTAAGAACTTTGAAGACCCTTCTGACCCATCTAACTACCGTCTTATCAGTCTCCTACCACTCTTCGGCAAAGTCTTCGAGCCGTTAATCAATGCCACAGTGGTTAAGCACCTTACCTCGCATGATCTACTCGCTGACAAACAATACTGTTTCCGCTTTGCTCGGTCTATCGCTGACGTGCTTACGGCCATAACTGAATCTGTATACCAAGCTCTTGATAATAACAGCGAAGCTCGAGCTGTTGCTCTAGATACCTCGAAGTCGTATGACAGGGTTTAGCATGCCGGCCTTCTACGTAAGCTTCAGGGATACAGTATTACAGGAAAATTATTTGATTTAATACAATCATTCCTGTCAAACCATGAAATGAAGGTCGTCCTGGGCGGGTTATCTTCCAGTTCCTTTCATACGAACGCTGGTGTTCCCAAAAAACTGTTTCTGATCTTCATCAACGATCTTCTTGATGTCATGTTTTTAAGTAGGCAGCTACATAGACGACACTACCATTTACTCCTGCCTCAATAGCAAATCCGACATTGCTGAAAAGGACCTCCAAACTGTGGTTGACTGGGGCAGGAAATGGCTTGTAAATTTTAATGCCTCCAAAACGAAACCTCCCTGCCTCCTATCAGCATGGTTGATGCTCAACATCACGAGAGCGTCTCACTGCGCCTTCTTGGTCTCACATTTTCCAATAACCTGAGGTAGAACAACTACATTAAATCAATAACTGCATCTACCCCAAGGAAAGTTGGTTCTCTGTGTCGCGCCAAAAAGTTTTCCTCGTTTGAATTCATCCTTCACATCTAGAAATCTACCATTCGTCCATGCATTGAATACTGTTGCCATATATAGTCTGGTGCCCACGCTGTTCATCTCGAGGTTTTCGACAAAATCCAAAGTCGGATATGCAGTGTGATCGGTCCTTACCTGGTATCTCGACTCCAGTCACTTTCTCACAAACATGATGTGGCTGCATTCTGTCTTTTCTACAAATATTTTCATAGCAAATGCTCTGACGAGCTATTTGATTAGTGCCCCAACTGCATGAATTTAAGCATGCTACCAAGTTGGCATCTCAGACCCACCCTTTTTCTGTCAAAACTCTTTTACTCCAAAAGCTTCTTCTCTCGCACTTCCTGATAGTGGAACTCCCTTCCTCTTACTTGCTTCCCTGATAACTATAATATTCAAAAAATTAAATATAATACCAATCAACATCTTCTGATGCCTTGATCTTGATCCCTATTCTCCATTTTATCCTTTCCTCAATCCCGCCTATTTTTTCTTACTTTCACTCTCTGTAACCCCTTGTGTGCTAGTGGCACTCCAATTCATTGGTTATTTTCTATATTTCTCATGCATATGGCTTCTATAGATTAAATTTTAATTAAAAGTGAGATACAACACTGACATTTAAACCTGCATAATATTGAATACTGCATAAATATGCAACATCCAAGAGGTTCAAATGTCAAAGTAAAAAGATGCAAATATGAGCAAAAATCTCCTTTTATTATCTACTTTGGTAATTATTTTACTTCAAAAAGTAGTTAAACTACTTTTTTGGTACAAAATGTTTCTACTAAAAAAGTAAATTCAGATAGTGTTTATCTTGTAACAAATAAAATCATAAGCAATTTTTATCATCAGTTTGTATGAAGAAGAGGATCCTTTAGTAATTTTGATCTTGTAACACCTTTTGCTGGTGATTGCAAATTAAAAAGAGTTTGGAAAATTTAACATATATGCTTTTTCACAAGTATAAAAATGCCACAAGCATTGGCCATTGTTGATTTAATTTTATGCTACTTATTTTACAATGTAAAATTAAGAAAATGTACCAGAAGAAGAAAGTGGAAAATGTTCTTTAAGAAAGTGTTCATCTAATTTTTCTTCCATGAGCTGTTCATCATGAGTTGTTGTACTAACAAAAGCTACTCAAAGAATAATTTCAGTAGCCTAAACAACTTATGGAATTAAGTTATACCCAGTGTTTCTTGAACATTGCTACTAATTAATTCTTGTTCTCATTCTTTTTAAAGAAAAAGAATGAGAACAAGAATTAATTAGTAGCAATGATTCTTTAATCATTTTTATCATAGCTGGTGAGAGAAGTGTAATGACATAGGCAAAATGAACTTGCATCGAGTCAAGAGACTACTAATAAGTCAGTCATTACTCAGAACAGGGGTATGTCTTTTTTTGTCACAGAGTAGAAGACAACAAAAAAAGATTTGTAGAGAAATTAGCAAATATCAAGTAGAAATGGTTAAAAATAAACTTTACTGTGATTAAAAATACTTTAAGTTTTAAGGCTACAAAACTGTAATGTCTTTGTCATTGCTTGCTATTGTATATCATTTTTCTACACTGTCATCATAACTTTAAATTTACTTTTTCTTTGTTTTATAGCCAGGAAGATGCCCATGAATTTTTTAACCATCTGATAAATGGCCTGCATGAAGAACTTGATACAACAAAGAAACGGGAACCTCTTGGGTATTCATTTTAATACTTATAATCACTAGTTAGTAGAATATGTTTTTTTTATTGATCTGTTTAATATTTGTAAATTAAACAGATGAATCAAAAACATATATTCCCCTCTTTTTAAATCAAGACTTTCTTTCTTGTAAGTTATATGCTATCAACAGAAGATACTTGGGCTTCTCTGCTCATTTGATCCAAAATTACAATTCCTATTTTTTGCATTATTGATATTCTGTAGGGATTAACTGATAATTCCTCCTGTATTTAGTCCAACCACAATTTACTATTTTCACTGATGTATGTGACTTTACTCAGTATAATAAACAATATCATCTAGTCAAAAAATCTACTCTGACCACCAACAATTCTTATTTCTTTTAGTCTGTTACATCAACTATGCATTGGCCATAGTTGTCTATGCCATTTTCATATTTTGCTCTTGCATTAATACATTCCATATTTTGAGATGTCATTATCATTCCAAGACTTATTTTAACTATAAAACTTATTCACTTTTCTGTTTTTTTTTTTGGTCTTGTTGTTGCTACAATATTTCCAACAATCTAGAGCTTTTTTCAGGTTTCAATCCATACAGGAAAAAAAGAGTTGTTTTTTTTTTTTGTTAGTGTAAACCAGAAAAAGGTAACAAACAAAAAGAAATGGTAGCAATTATATTTTGATCAAACCCTAACCCAATTACCCTAATGGATATAGCACAGAAGATTACATTAAACTAATTCATTCACATTAATGTGTGTAACCCAGGCAATTCCAGATTTTTTATATACTGGATGGCTCTCAAATCTTTTCTTTGCAATAGAAAAAATCCATACCACACTGAAATGCACACCTACACACATTTATCTGTAAAACTAATGTATATAGTCACTTTCAATTTTCTCACTCTCCAGTAAATTTTCCCTATTTTCTTCAATGTGCCATGTTCCTTCAGGACATGGACAATCATGATTCTCCATAACTTCCTGTCCTTTGTAGCTCTTAGTACAGTTTGTCTTTTTGCTGTATCTTCTAGTCACTGTTATGCAAACCATTTACACAAGCTTGGTAGGTAGGTTATACGCTGCTTCCTTTGTCCTTCTTGCCTTCAATATGTCCTGTCGCTGTCAAATTCTTCAAGCCTCTCGTTCTTCATCATGTACCCTAGAAATTTCAACTGTCTCCTTCTGATACTACATATAAGTGTCCTTTATATTTTCATTTTTTCTAAAATTTTGTCATTGCTCATGCGTTCAGTCGATGGTATTCTCAGCATCTGTCTGTAGAACCACATTTCTGTAATGTGATAATCCAGCATTCACTGCAATAAAGGAGTACTGATACTACATAACAGTTCAGAACTCTTTTCTTTGTTTCTAATGAAATGTTTCTTAATACCTTGCTTACTTTTGGAAGGCATCTTTTACTATCCCAATGCGCCTTCAGATTTTGGTGTTGCATTTTCTGTCCTCTGTTAAAACACATCTTAGATAATTAAATTTTAGCACTTGTTTAATTTTGGTATTTCAAATTTGTAATTCACATGTTAGACTGTTTCTTTTACTGACAACCACATATTCTTTATTCTTGATATTTACTCCTTTTTCTTCTCACTTTCCTTTACTACCTTCTGTAGGAGTTCCTGTAGTTTCCTTTCTGTGTCTGAAAATTTCCCTATTACTTGGAACTTATCCTGAAGGAGATAATGTGATCCCTTTCCAAATATGGTTTGCTATATCAGCCTTTTTAATAGTGGTCAAATAGTTTGTTTCATTTATTATGCAAAAATAAAAGACAATATAAAAAACATGTTGACATTAAGTTTAATGACTAAAACATTTACTATTTTGTTTTAATATTTTCTGCTTCTTCAGACAAACTTTTAATTACATCCACCCAGAACATTTTTTATGTAATATTATGCTCTCTCTGTTAACTAATTCTGGTTGTTTTTCATTGATTGCTACCTTCAGTTAGTCTAATCAGAAGTATTATTTGTACAAATCAATCATTTTCATGTCTGAAAGGAACCTTTCCAATCCCATAACCTAACAACATGATCTTGTTTGGATGAAGATCAGCATTTAGTTAATATTACTTGCTGCGTGATTTCTTGCATTCCATATTGTTGTAAAGTATCTGCTTTTCATGGCTTTCATTTATTTTAAAAAAATGGAAAATTTTCATTATGTAACAAATTGTATTCAGAAATATGGTCCAGTAGACATTTTACATTTATGTGCAAGCCGTACATCAAAGTAACAAACATAATCAAGCATAATGATTTGAAATGATTTTCAATGCTTGATTTAGATCTTTTGAGCATGTCAGCTCTCTCCTGTATTATATAATACTATGTTAAAGTAATATCTTCATTTTAATCATTATTAACCTCAACTGGTTTTCCCAAACATGGAGCATTGTTTAATAAGAAATCTCTAACAAAATATCCTGCAAACCATTTGATCATTCACAGTAACTTCTCTATAAGTAACTTCTGTCCAAATCTTTTTATGTTTAAGCTACATTCAAAATATGAAAAAAATCTTATGTATTAGAAGCAATAAACACAAATACTCCAATTTTAACAAATGTTTTCCTGATATGACAATAAAAAGTTGTATTTTTTTAATAAAGTTATAGCTAAAACCTAATTACATTGAAAGACAGAACAAACTTTTTAGGTTACTCCAATTTTACCTTTGACTATGGCTTTCTTATGCTTCTCATGGCTGACTCTTTCAGGTTGTCTTGTCTCCCCCCTTATATTCTTTTCTAGATTTGCAAGCACTGTGGTGAATGGATTGCTTTGATCAGTATATTTATCATGGTTCCTTTTGTTTAATACCATTTTCCAATTTTTACTCCAGAGAAAAAAAGGGCCATCTCTTTTCATATAGGTAATATATAATGAATGAGCCAAAAAATTGTCTTAACAAGAGCAACAAAATTAATGAGACCAGTGTTTCAGACAACTTTAGGAAATATTTGTGTAACATTCATAATTTTTCTATGTTTTATGTTTGTTTTTAAAGTAGACATTATTGTCATAATAACAAATGCAGATCAAAACACAATATTAAATATTAAAAGTGGGCAGTAATGTACTCACTTAACACTGTAGATCAAGAAACAATTTCAGAAATGGAACATCCTATTTGTCTGCTCCATTTTAATCTCAATAATTCACATAATCTTGCCATAATCAGCCTAGGTGGTGTCCCCACTGATCCATCAAGACACATTGGAAATGCAAGGTCTAGACACATTTCCATGATGTGATGATATAGTGGTGTCACTGAACATTACCTTCATATACTACTTGTTGCATGTCAATGTATATATTTATTCCTTTAACAGCTACAACTATTGTTATCACTTAATTATGATTAAATACTTCTTTTATATTTTAACTTTATAGGTAATAGAAATTCACACTGATACATTTTTATAATCCAAGCTAAAATACAATTGAAAAGGATATCTATCAGGTTATCCCATAAGTTCTGTCCGAATTTTGAATAAAGAAAACAAGTGACCAAATGTTACATTTAATTACAGATTCAATCAACAATGTATTTTCCCTGATTATCTATGACTTCCTTCCATCTATTAACAAGCTTACTAATTCCATTACTGTAAAATTCTTTTGGCTTTGATTCGAAGTTTCAACCTCTTCCTGTGTTACAAAAGCTGTTTCTTCCAAATGATTCTGTAAGCTATGAAACAAATGGTAGTCTGAAGGAGCAAGATCGGGAGAATAAGGTGGATGAGGAATTTTCTCCCAACCAAATTCTTTGATCTTTTGTGATGTGATTCTTGCTGTGTGGGGGTCACGCATTATCCTGATAAAACATCACCTCTTTTCGATTCACTAGGGCAGGTCTTTTCCACAAAGCTTGGTTCAAATGCTCTAATTGCTGACAGTATATTTGAGCATTAATTGTTGCATTAGGTGGTAAGAATTCAAAGTGGATCATTCCTTGGCGATCCCACCAGATTGAAAGAAGAACCTTTTGCCCATGAAGTTCCATTCTCGGCTGTGGCTGGGGTCCTTCCCCTTTACCAAGCCACTGTCTATGATGCTTAACATTTCGATAAAAGATCCATTTTTCGTTGCCAGTCACAAGTCTATCCAAAAATGGTGAAACCATTGGCGAGAATGGAGATAAGAGCAGATGTCAACTTGGGATTTGAGGTTGTTTTCAGACAATTCATGAGGCGCCCATTTTCCAAGTTTAGGAACTTTTCCAAGTTGTTGAAGATGACGATGAACAGTTGTATGGTTTGAACTGAGAACCACTGCCAATTCCTCAACTGATAAAGCAGGATTTTCTTCTAGGGCTGCTTCAAGAAGCTTTTCATCAAACTCAACTGGACGTCCGGTTCGATCTTCATCTTCAAGGGTGAAATCTCCAACTCTGAATTTTGTAAACCATCTTCTGCAAGTTCTTTCATTCACACATTCCTCTCCATAAACTGAGTGAATGTTTCTAGCCACTTCGGCTGCTGAGTTTCCTTTCTTGAACTCATAAAGCATTATGTGCCTCAAATGATTCTTGGGTACTTCCATGTTAGCAGGGTTTTAATCAAACAAAATTTAATTTTATTGTTCTCTAAAATAAAATTTGATCAGTTTAAATGCATCTAAACATAAAAATAATGTTCAGCTCCATTAGACATTATAAAATACTCTTTAAATTTCATCCATTTTAAAAAAAGGTAAAATTCGGACAGAACTTATGGGATGACCTGATAGATAAGCTCATTCAATGAGACAAGAGTATGTTATAGATGTAACCATTTTGCTATGTATTGTTTCTATAAGCAAGAAAAACTGAAAAAACAGCAGTTGAATTAAATGTCTCTTGCTGAAAATGATTTACTATCTGAAAAAATTATAATTATTAATGATACATTTTAAAAATTCTTTCTTTCAGTGTTGATATAACATCCTGGTATAACTTCTGCAAAGGAGATACAAAGATAACAGGTTAGTTAATGCTTGAATTTGAAAATCACAAATATGCAAATAATAGAAAAAATATATCAGAACTAGAACATTATATTTGTCGTTAAGCCATTTTACCATCATGATATATTACTATAAAGTGTTATTTAAATTAAATATATCAACTACACATGTAGTATTCCTGTTATAGAAAGCTGGCAATGAATGTTAAGAACTGAAAACTGATAGAATCTACTTTCTAAAGTTATTCTGGTCAACATTTCCTGTGCACAATAATAAAAATATTCTGATATTGTATTCATTGATTTAATGTAAATAATTGCTTAAGAATTTTGATTACTTTTGTTCCTGACCAGATAAGCAACTTTGTTTACAGATTTTTTACATTCAAAGCAGACTTTCTTTATAATTCCAATATTATTTACCTTATACCATATTACTGATGAATGATAATCATTGATAAATGATGAGTTGTTTTGTATGTGTGAGAAGTGACCTAAACTCTGGAATTCATTCATTTAAAAAACCCACCTAAACTTGTGTTACACATGTTCATTCCAATTCTCTAATTTATTCATCAAGTTGCCAATTTTGTGCATGTTTTTGTCAATGTTTTGAAGAGTTTGCTCAAATATATTTCATATCTGCACAATTTATAAAACTTGAAGGAACACTCCAAGACATATATTTCTTCTTGTTTACTAAATATAATTACAATTTATATATAAATACAGAGAATAATAGATATAGAGTTTATGGTCCTGGATTCAACCTACTTTGATCTCAACATAAAAAATGCTTGATTTTCTGTTTTTAAAAATAAAAAAATCAAGCAATTTTTTTTATAAAAATAACATTTACAAAACAAATTCATGAGAAATTTAATTAAAAATTTTGATATTGAATATGAAATATTCTTTTTAATATTTTTGGGAAGAGATGATTTTTGCAAAACTAAGAAAAGATAAAGTTTGACCCTTATTCTCATATTGTATCTTTCTTTTTATGTGCCATGTCCTTTCAGGACATAGAAATCCTAATTCATGTGCTCCTGTCTTCTTAATTTCATAACTGAATTGGAACAGAGATAACTTCTATATTATATTAATTATCAAATAATCTTAAATAGGCTTGTTTGTTTTTTGACAACCATCACTTTATAGCAAATAGATAAATGTATCTACACAATTTTTGGATGGATAGGTAGTGTCATGTTCTATTCAGTTTCAGGATTAAACATATGGTCTATTTGAGAACATGAAGTTAACATAATACCACTAAAATAAATACAGAAATATTAACAAGAAATTATTAAAAACAAACAAATAAAAAAATTCAAGTTATATTATTTGATCAGTAGAGTTTATATGACAAGCATATAGATGTGTAGAACTATTCATAAATAGCAGCAGGAAAGTTGAAAGAAATAGTTTCTCTGAATGTCCTAAACTGATTTACAGACCCTATTAAATATTTATTCTATTTGCTAATATCTTTGAGATGCTGAACATAAAGGTTACTGCCTATAGCCAGGTAAGACTTTTATAGTTAGTGACAATATTTGTAATAACCAAATAATAATGATAAACCAGCAACATGTTTTACTTAATTTATGGCTTTTCTTCTAGCTTAAACTTTTAATCAAGAATGCTTTATAAAATATTTGACTGACTATTGAACCCTTAGATACAAAATTCACATGATCAATACAACAAATATAAAAGATACATTTTCAATAGCCATAATAATCTCTTAAATAACAATGTTATAAAAGCAATTATCACTAAAAGTAGGTTTATTAACTACAAAGTTTTCTGTTTCAGTTAATCATTTATGTCTCTGAGTAAAAGGATATGTTTCTGTAGACATTTTCACAATCCTAATGTTATTTTATGTAAATTCTTCAATATTCACTTTGTCAATTTGCAGATGTTTTTGCACTGCAGATGAAACACAGTTATACTTGTCTTACTTGCAACACTCACTTCAAAGAGTATCACACAAGTTTTGATCTTTCTATGCCCATGAAAAAGGTAAGATATTATCTCTCTCCCAAAAATTTAGTGGCACTCTGTACAATTTACAACAAATTTTTAAATGCACCTTCTTTTCCATGTTGTACTAGTCTCTCTTCTCTCTCATTTCCTTGATTCTTGTTTTTTACTTCAGCTGCTGTATTCAGTGCTTTGCACTCACTCATTCTCCTACCTTAAATACTCAATTCATTGTTTTTATGAATCTATTGTGTGATTATATCACAGGATGAACACTTCTCGAGGACCTCTTTAGGACACCTTAATATAATGAAATATATCTCTTATTTCATAAAAATCTCATGTTTTACAATTTTACCAAATCTCTTCTTAAAAAAAATATAAATTACTATTTATAAATTAAAGGTGAAAATTGGCTTGATCAGATTTTTATTGTAATCAGCAACCTTAAAATGCTATTATGTTCTTCATTAAAGTTTACATAATATTAATTTCTACTGCAAGGATTATCTAACTTAATCTGTAAGTGATATAGAAAAGAAACACAAAGAGTTTTTTTATCAAGAAATATACAAAAATGCCTTTGGTACTCCAGTTGTATCTACAGACATTAAATCATTTACTGACTTCTGCTTTTTCTGATACAATATCATAATGGTGGTCCTGTATAATTCTATCCAATAAAAGAATAAGTACAATAGAATAATTAAATTTAGGAACTGATCGCTAAACCTTTTGCAAAAGTTAAAACTAATATAGTATCCTCACACATTGGATCACAGCTTAATTAAATATCAAATTTATATCTGATAATAATACAGTATATTAGAATTTTCTCAAAAAGAAATAACATGATTGTCCCTTTCTGTATATCCCTTGTATACAGGTATTCTATTGTGAACAATTAAAATAAATCTACCTGGTTTAATCAATACTGGTTTGTAATTTACAGGCAATCAGAGTTGTAGACATGGAGGAGATTATTCGAGATTTCATGGAATGCACTTCTAACAATGTAAGTCTTTTTCCAATTAATACAATTCATGATAATATAGTATATTTAGGCTGCAAGTATTTATCCAAACAATTTTGATTAAATTCAACCAACAAAGTTGTCAGTTTAAATTTTTATTGTATACACTGGCATCAAAATCACCATGAGGATAGCACATGATTCTTCAAAATGACTAAGAAGGTTGAATGTAGTTGAACAAAAACAACAGAACTTGAAATTCAGACAATTTATCAACAATTACAATCCCTATATACAAAATCTTATTTAAAAATTGGAAAAACACAATAAAAATGTACAATGATCTCTCTTTACCAATTGAAACTACATTATCATTGCATTTATACCATTTTAGCATCTTAAGTTTAGAATTTACAGTTATAGGAACCATCACTCTTTTTCATTATTAATAGTCATATTATAAAAAATAAGTATAATACAACTCTATGCGTATAATATTACATTACATATAATTTAATGTAGATTATGTATATATTCACTTTAAACAAGACTTGTGACATTCTTCATTATACATTAAAATGTTCATAGTACTAAAAACTTTATCAAATAATCACTTTAATTGTTCCAAGATGTATGATGTAACTTTTCTTTGACATCAAATTACCTGTATAATTTGGTTAAATATGACATTTAATAGATGCATCACTTTGAAAGATTTTTAGATATCAATCTCTCTTGTAATATGACATTTAATTATATGAAGGGTTATGTAAGTTTCTCAACCCAACCAAGAAGTCCCTACCAAAAGAAACTTTGATGTTTGATCAGATTGTGTGTGATTGGCTCAGAAATTTTCAACACACCTTGTAATCTACCTGCATTTGAAGTTGTCCTTGACGTTTTAAAAAGACTGAGAAAATATTTTTCAACAAGTAAACTTAAAACACATTCTGAAACATATTTTCTCTTGCATTATATTTGTACCTTTTTAACCTATTCAAAAGTTACTTAATTTGTGAAATGACCTTTTATTTTTATTTAAATTTAACAGATTATGAAAGTTTACATTTAATAGTAATTATATTAGCATAAATTGTTGCAGAAAATAAATATAAAAAGAAACAATGATTTATGGGTACAAAATGAGTCAAAACAGTTCTTGTTTGTTATTTTTTGGTTTTAGATATACCAAGTTATATAAACTGTATTACTTTTATTATTTAAATGTATTAATTTTATCAAAGAGCAACATATGTACAAATAGATAAATATAAATTTTTTGCTTATTTCAGATGTGCAAGAAGTGTGGAAAACTAATGATGCATGATTGCAACAAAAAATTTGTGCATTTGCCTGAAGTCCTTGTACTCTGTATCCTTGAATACTATCATGCAGGAATATATAACATAATTAAAAGCATAATTTTATTGTAATGAGAGTAGAAGTGGGTGAGGATATATCTTAACTGCAGTGCTTCCTTGAATATCTAAGCACCTAGAGACAGGGGTTGAAAAAATATGTTCAGATAATTAAAAATTCTGAATAATTGAAATTATTGAAAAAGAATAAAGAAAAAGTCATTTTCTGAAAGAAACTTAACATTTATATGATTAAATAACATTTTCAAATATTTTGTCCAGTTTATTTTTAATCTGAATCAGTTCACAACAATGAAAAAGGCAACAAAATTTTTTTAAATATAAAAATATAAAATATTTTTATTTTCGTGTTTTTACAACTAGATTTTTCTTGGCTTGTATTAAACTTCTTACATTTAAGTTCCTTGTTTTTTTAAGATGAACAGAAATTTGATTTCTTTGCATATATGTGTGAGAAAAAGAGGCAAGGGAGAAAGTGAGGAAGAAAGTGTAAATGTTATGTAGCTTGGTGAGGAAGAGTGTAAGTGTCATGTAGCGTGATGAGGAAGGCAAGTAAATGAGTAAAGGAATCTCTCTGAAGCCATGCACGTCATAAACTACTGCTATCTGTATCTGTCAAGCTTGTTTGGTCTAGAATCTTTCCTTAAATGCTCTTCAAAGGGATCCTGATGCATGTTTTTATTGTTGGTGAGAATTTGACCCATTGGTTGAAAAATGTTAAATATTGATTTTCAAAGAATTAATTTATTAACCAGAAGAATGCACGGATCCTCCAACTCAGAAACCATTTTTTTGTCATTTGATGATTGCCTGTCTTGGTGTTTATTTCCATCTTCACTTCACAAATTTTTGTTTGGCTGGCCTCACATATTTCTGCTGCTAACTCCTGGAGCCTAATTAAAGTAGATATATTTGTAAGGTTGAAAGTGCAACCAACTTGTTTAAATTGTTGTCAAACATAACCAAGCTGTGATAATTTAAATGTTCTTTGTACAAAAACAGAAATTAACAGTTGAACTGATTTTATCAGTGTTTTTATCAAATGTTGAGTATAGTTTTCTAAATTTTGAAATACTTATCTAAAAAAATATTAGAATAGGTTTAGTTCATATAAATGAAATATGTTTGACTGATTTTGATTTTTAAAATGATGAGACCTCACTGCCAATCTAGAACTGTGCTTAATTTCATAAAGTCAAGGTACCAGAGAGGAAAGCTCATTAGGACAATTACCATGAAAATATTTATAGAAAAGGCACAGAGAAGCAGTATGTTGACTGAAGCCAAGATTCCAGGTCAGGAAATTGCAGATTCTTTTTTGTATTTTATCAAGAATTTGTAAATATATATCAAACCAGATGTGACAGCAATATTCAATGCATAGATGAATAGTAGACTTATAAATGTGCAAGAGATTCTGGTGAGAGAAAGTGTTTAGCATGACACAGTGAAGCAATTCTTCTAGCAGCAGACCTAGCAGTTGATTCAATCTTTCCAGTTCATCTTAGCAGAAAATGATAACCTGGGGAAGGTGCAATGAGTCACTCCCCTGGAGGTTAGAATCTGCCATGCTGATGGAAGGCAAAAAAGGTTCTCTAAGACAATTAAAAGAGAGGAGTTTCATTTTGAAGGCATTAAAATTAACAAGCTATTTCTTGCCCCAATTAACAAAAGATTGTAGGTCATTTTTAACATCAGTTGCTAATTTGACAATATCAAATCAATCAGAATTATCATTAAGACAGGAGTAAATAGTTGTGGCATCAGCATAGGAACAAGTACTATTGCAAGAATACCATCAAGCTTTGTGGGTATCCATGATGATAACAGAAACCATGGAGGGAATTATATACATATCACACAATACAGACTCAGTTCTAAGTGGAAAGTCAGGTAATGGTACACCAGATGAATCAAGAATTGAATTGGAAGAGAATTTATGAGCAAAACATACTACTGTATCAGCAGAAGATAATATCTTAAATTGAATGAAGAGAAGAGGGATAGAAGACACTCCTATTTAACAAACTTTTACAGAGCTAACTGTCATCACAAGAACCAAACTTATTAGATGCTACATTCATTGTCAGACATTTTTACAATTATGTAAAATTACAAAGCAGAATCTGTTATGATCAGAACTATTATATTGGTACAACTGGAAAAGGGAGATTCCTGTGGGATATAACTGTTGAACAAGCAGGTATGAACCAAGAAGCTTGTGGTTTCACCTGGTATTTATGAGAAGGTACAAATGCATTGATGCCTGCTTTTACTCAAGAAGAAAACTCGGTGGTACAATTCTCAATAGATGGTTAAAAATTTCTCTCCAAAGAGCATCACAAAGAAAATCATGAAATGAATCCCAATTAGTATACTAGTAACAGAAAAAAATTTAATGAATTGAAGCTTCCTATCTAAAATGACTCAAAAGAAATATCAATAGATACTACAGCATGATCCAAATTGCCAAGTGGCCATAGCTGCAAAGAACAACATGAGTTTGGGGAAGTGGTAAGGAAAAGATCAAGTAGAGAAGTGTGTCTGTTAGAATTACAAGGGAAACTTGTAGGGAATTATATTCTTTGAGTGAAAGATTGAGCAATTGAAAAGTTTCAAATCTGGGTGCCAGCTAGATCAGTAGCATTAGAGTGATGAAGTCACATGATATGATGGGCATTGAATCACTGAACAAAGATATGACTTGAATCTGACATCAAGATGACTGGTTTCTCCTTTACAAGTAGCAATGACTGTTATCTTGCATTGCTGAAACAAATTAATCTAGTTAGTATATTTGCAATCATTGTCATCTTGTTTAGTAAACATAGAAACACCTTATTTTTTTCCTATGGAATGAAGAAGGATGCAGAATAGATTGGCCAAAACTACATTGTGAAAAAATCAACACCATAAGAAAGTAGTTCAACTGTCCCAACAATGCTTGGAATGTTTACCTATTTACACTTGAATAATGTTTTCTCCATCCTAGAAGTTTCAGATTTAATTTCCCCTAATTTAATCCAGTTGTGAATTATCCCTTTTGTCAACTTATACAAAATAGAATTTGAGAGGAGGCATTTTTTGATAAAATATTAAGTATTAAATATCTTCTTGGTTATTTTAATAGTTCATTGTTCCAAGCAGTGTTCAGGCAAAAAAAGAAACAATGAATGCTTTTTGGAATCTGTAAAAACCATATGGAAACCATACACTCCTTATGTTGTTCATGGTTTCAAAATCTGTAAAAAATACAGTTTGATATTTTCTACAAGCAAATTTTATAAATTGTGCTTTGTGCAAAACAAAGGATTTTTTTAATCTGATTTAATTATGAACATGAAAGCTGAATATTTAATCATATTCAACATTTTTATATATTAGATTTCTGGGATTAAAATACCCCATCTTCAGTTATTGCATATTTTCTATAATTGAAAATCTTCCTTTTCCAGTTAAAAAAAATGATGTAGTATAACATAAATATATAATAATATAAACATGCAAAAACATTACCAGCTCTTGTAACTCAAGCAAAGATGTAACTGCATACTATGTAACAAAAAGTTTCAAACTACAAGATACTTTATTTACTACATGCTCCACAACTGTGGCCTTTTACCAAACTTATCAAAAGAGTTAAAATACTTATTCTTCACATTGTTTCTTGAGATTCTATTCCTATCAGGAACAAAGGATGAGAATTAATCTGAAAATTTATTTGTATATTAATGGTATTTTGTTTAAAAATGAACTTATTTTGTTGATATTGTTCAGCTGCTTTTCTTGACAGTAAAATTTCAGATTTTCAACGAGCAGAAAAACTAGGAAAACTAAAGACAGAAATGCGATATCCTGTGGAGTGCTTAGATCTTACACCTTTTGTCAACAAAAGTAAGAGAATTCCAATACAAAAAGCCACTGTGTAACAATGGTGGAATTTAATAAAAACTTTAATTTCATTGAAATGAAAAATTAAATTACTCAAATTTTTTAAAGGATTGGCATGATTGAAGTTCATAAATAACAAGTTCGTTAAAGGATAAGTTTAACAAAAAAAAAAAACTGATATCAACTACAGGAAAAATGTTGATAGTAAAAATATTAGTATGAAAACTGAAAATGAAATATCATTTGAATCAAACTTTGATAAGTTTGTAGCTTATTTTATAAAATTAGAAGTGTATACATCATATTGCTATTCCTAAATTTAAAGAATGCTCTTTTATAGAATCCAATTTGCTCCCTTTTATACATGTAAGCTTTATCCTTGTAATGAGTGATTATTTTGTTATTTGGAAAAATATTTAAAATAGCTGAGTTTGTTTATTATTCAGGTCTATCAGGATCAACACAATACAGGTTATTTGCAGTTTGCTGTCATGCTGGGGACTGTGCAACCATGGGACACTACTGGGCTGAATGCCGGCACAGTGAAACTGCAGAATGGAACAAATACAATGACACAAGGTCAGGAAAATATTATGGATTCCTTTGGATTGATATATACACATATTTCTATATTAACGTTGTAATATACCTGTCCAATAGCCAAGTACAAAATTTGTGAACACATGAATGGTAAAAATTTTGGATATGAAAACAGGGGGTACAAAATTTGCAGGACAATACATAGTAAATATAAAAAAGAAATTATCTGTGGCTCCTAGCAGCTTATGAAATACAATAATTAGGATATTTTAACTTATCTAAAACATCAATATCATAGCTTGCTGTTAATTAAATGACTGTCACCAACTACAGCCATCTAGCAAATTCAACAAAATTGACAATTTTTGTCAAAACTTTTAATATTATGAATTATCATTATTATACACTGATTTACTTTTGCTAGTGTTGTCATCTTGGTTGTCATGATCACAATGGTTATGACAGATACCTGAAAAAAGTCTGTTGTGTTCTTTGGCCAAAATATTGTGATGATAACCAAGTTGAGGACCCTGTACTGATCAAAACTGTATTTCTAAAAAGGACGATTAACAATTTAATTTCTGTTCTAAATAAGAATCAATCATATTTTTTAAATCATTTAAAGAAAAGTTTTTGTATCATAGTAACATTTAAATACTGATCATAAATTTTCATTAAAGAAATCTAAAATTTCTTGACACAAATCAGGTTTATTTTTACAGAGTCACCAGTATAAGCAAAGGAAATACAGCCACAGGCAGTCGAGAATGTGTCTTCTTTTACCAACGCAAATAACCTACCAAATGCTACTGATCGCAGTCAAAAAACCTGGAGAGATTCATCTTTTCATTTCCCTGTATTTATCAGTTGGTGCCTTTAAACTGCTTTGGATAGTCTTTTTGGTGACAAAATTATATCTGGATCCTTTTGGAACATGCAACACAATTTCAGCGTCACACCTGGTTAAAGACATTTTCAGGTTTTCCTGCAGTTCGGTTTGTCAAGGACTTAACAAATAGAAAAGGGGAAGAAAGGTACAAAACAATGCCATGTTACACCAAGAATGTATTATGTACATTATGAAAAAGGTGAGTTTTGTAATATTGGTCTGCCTGTCAGCAAAACAGGGCTGTAAATAAACAGTATGAAACTTTTGTTTTGTCTTGTCTTCAATTCTAAGCCTAAATGGAGTAAGATGTTGTTGAGTGAAATGAGGTTAGTATGTAAGCAATATTTTAATTCATTGTCAAATGATTAACAATGCCTCATGCTATTAAATAAGTATTTACTTATCCATCAATAATCATGATTTTTAAAGATTGTTTAATGGAAACAATGAAATGGAAATGGTTTTTGTCTACTTCTAAGCATACCCACTAGTATTCAAGTCAAACAATTATTGTACTTAGCAAAGCAAATTCTGAAGGCTACATTTCACTTAAGACTTCTTCTCTTCTAAGTATGAAAGTCAAGATTTTAATGTCTTCAGAAGCTGATTTCAAAGTTAGAATTAGTAATAATAAAGACATACTGAGAATTTACCCAATTTATTTTATAATCTACATCACTATGTCAATTTCAGCTCCTGAGTAAGAAACTAAGTGATATACATACATTTCCTTCAGTAAGTGACAAGTTAACCTATGAAGATTTTATACTTGTATGAGCAGTATAAGAATATAATATTGTTTTTTTTATTATTGTTGTTGAAAATGAAATCTACCAATGGAAACAAGAATTTATAAATAACATTTATGCATATATAAATAAAAAGAAAGAAGAGTAAGATATATAATCCGGTGTTCTTATAGATATTTTTATTTTTACAAAATAGTGCTCAATTTGAAACATTGTTGAAACATGGTTAGAACAGTGTAGCGGAAAAAACCATATTTTAAATCAATTAATTTATAATAAATAACATTTATAAATGTTTGAAATTTTTGAGGGTCCAAGTTATTGCTAATAATTAAGTTAGATGTTTTAATATTTTTATAAATTAAAAATCTAAGGTATATACTACAATCAATGTGATAATACTGGTGAATTATATTATTAACTAGATTAAAAGCTGCCCTATCAGTTGGCATTTAAACTAGCTCCTGCAGGGGCCTCGTGATCGGGCCTTCATCACAATAGGTAGGGAGAAGTAGATGTGATAAGCAACAATAAACTACAGAAGACCTCACAAATGATCACTGCATTTAAGTATTGCATTAATATCTAAGCTATCCTTTTAAAAATTCAACGATAATTCTTCTGCTGCCACTTAATTTAAAGACAATTTGATGAATGTAGGTCCTTACTTTCCATACAAACCATTATTTTTATTTCATGGGTGACTTTTGCTGGATTTCACAATTAATTTCAATTATTCCCAAATTTATTTCCAAGTTATAAAAATTGTTATCGTACAAAAAAAATTGTCACAAAAAATCACATAAAAGAATTACCAAAATCAATCACAGTAATGAAAATTTGAGAATCTAAAATTTCAGGAATGCAAGTCCAGATCTGGCCTGGAATGTTTTTAATTTGATCATGGAGTCAGCCTGATTCCAAAATGGTATGATATGTTGGACTACAGCCTCTGGGAGTAAAGTTCCATCAGATCCTTGTGGCATACTTTGACAAAGGTCTATGAATTCTGAGCATGAATATTGTGTTCCTTGTTCCAGTCTCTTTAATGAATACGCACTGTTCTTGTCCTATCTCTGGGCTGATTCTGCTGTGCACTCTGTTCATTAGAATACGGATGATGAGTTTTGTCACATGGCTCATTAGGCTTATTATTCGGTGGAGTTCACATTCGTTTGCACCTGTTTTCTTAGGCATAGCTATGAAGATAGATCTGTTGAGATCTCCTGGTATATCTCCAGTGTTGTAGATTTCATTTGTTATTTTTGTGATCTTGTCAATGCCAAAGTTATCTAAGGCTGTCAGCATTTCTGTTACAATTCCATCTGTTCCAGCTGCCTTGTTTCTGTTCAATTTTGCCAGTGCGGTTTTTAGAATTACAGGTCTGTCGGTAGTTCTGCGTATTGCTAGTTGTTCCCTTACATTGTGGAAGAGTTCTCCAATGTACTCATTCCAGCATTGAAGAATTTTTTCCTTTTCTAATATGTGCATGTCTCTTTTGTTGGTAATACTCAATCTTTCTATTTCTGCATATTTTTCGTTCAGCCATTCTTCTTTAGCATGCCTGCATTTGGTCCTTATTTGATTGTGTAATTTTCTGTATTCCGTTCCGTATCTTGGTTGAGTTTTCTGTCATCTTTCCATCATGTCGATAATCTTATCAGTCATCCATTTGTTTCTCCTTCTTCATCCTGTCTCCTTTGGGATGATATCATTTGCTGATGTCACTAAAGCCTCTCTTAGTGCATCCCATTTTGAGTTTCCATTGTATGCCTCGTATCTTCTTTTCACATCATCTATATATTTTTCTTTTAGGTTAAGATTGCTCAGGAGTTTGTTGTATTGCAGTTTGGGTGCTGCATTAGGCTTCACTCTTAGTTTACATATAAGAGGGTGATGATCGCTTCCGCAGTCAGCACTTGGGTAGGTTTTGCAGTGAATCATTGCATTCCTGAATCTTTTGTTGATGGTTATATAATCAATTTGGTTTTTAGTCGTCTCGCATCTTCTTGGAACCATGTGTTGGCTATTACCTGGTCATTGGCTGTGCACCATTGGGTCTATTTTTCTCCACATTCATTGCAGGTTCTTAATCCAAATCTTCCTGCTATATCCCCTGCCCTTTCCTTGCCTACTCTGGCGTTTAGACTTCCTGTGATTTGCATATAGCCCTGGCACTGTCTAGCATGGAATAGAATGATTCGATGTCCTCTTCCTTGCTTTATGCCATTGATACGTAAACTACTATAATAGCCACGTTGAAAGGCTTCTCTTTCAGCTTCACTACCAGAATTCTTTCAGAAATCACATCATTCCTTTCCAGGCGAGGGATCGGTTCTGAGGACTTTTATCCCCTTTACGTCATTTATGCTAGCAGTTGCTGGATGATAGTCAGGTGATCCCTGTTGAACATGTCAGTCCTTACCAAGCAAAGAACTAATTCTCATAGACAAAGTTCCCCTTCATGCCATTAGGTTTCACATTATCTGAGTTGTTAACCATGATTTGTCTTGGGAGTGATAGTGGTTTCCCGTTGCTTTCTCCATAGTGGTTTATGGAGACACCATCTCTAGTTGACTCAGTGAGTTCCTCTACCCCTTGTTAGGTCTTGTTTTTCATCCTGGTGGCTTGCTAACAAGCCACCTCACTTGGAACTTGGAGTGGGGTAGTCAGTTTAGTCGTTGACATTTCGATTGGGATATTTACCAAAAGTTGAGGGAAACAACAAAAAAAACCCCAACAAACTAACAGTTTTAACTTAGATAAAGTCCTGATGCCCTGAGTTGGGGAATGACAGTAAATTCACTTCAATTAGTGAAGAAAAATTTGAGAAAAAAGAAAAGTAAAATAAATAGTAGTAGCAAAAAAATGAAAATGAAACTGAAGGGAAGAGAAAGATGAGGAAAAGTTCCCCTATATTTGAACACAACATCGAGGTGGGTGGGGTAATCTGACCATTTAAATAAAAAAAAATCACTTCATGACTATGTCCAGACGCTCCTTCTCGGCTGACATATTTAAACTTAGAAAACTTAAGACGAGGTGAATTAAATTCAGTACTATTAGAAATAGAACAGTTGTGGAAACTAAACTAGAATAATTAGTAGTAACGAAAGAACAGATTAAGTAAGTAAATTAGTAATTTGAAACAAACATACAAAAAAGATGAAAAAAAAAGAAAGAAAAAGAAAAAAATGTAGGAAAACCAAGAATGAATTTTAAATACAAACATGTTACTTAGATACAGTCAAAAATTGAAAGGTGTCAATAATCAACGCCAAGATTCAGCCTGGAGGAAAAATTACTTATTTTAAAATTTCAAACAGGTGATATTATTGAATAGATAATCAGAATTGCTTTCCAAGAGTCAGCACAAGAACACGGACTTGTTCTCTACTTACCACCTGATTAAATAATGATGAATTCTACCATATTTGTAAATCTTAAAATCTAATCCAGGGATTTTACTATGCACCTGATAATCACCTAAGCATGAAACTGGCAACTGCATTTACATGTCTTCTTAATTTGTTCTTATTCTAAGTATTTAGTGATACGGTATAATATACAAGAAACAATCAAATTCTAATAAAAATATCTGACTCAAAAATTGATAAAAACAATAAAAATTAAGATGCTAGTGGGAGAACATTATTAAATCTTGATAATTTATCTAAGAACTATCAACTTTAAGAACATAAAAGCTTAAATTATTTCCAATTATTCTAAGATAAAATATTAATTATTTTGTATTCAAATAAAAGCTTGACTTTTGGTCATCCTGTTAAATTTTTTACATTTTTGGCAAATGAAAGTCAAGCAAAAGTGAGCAGGCTTATAACATCACATTGAAACATGAGTTCCTGTATGAAAGTTAAGCAACATTAGGTTTGTTTAGTACCTAGATAGCTGACTGCTTGGGAATACTGGGTGCAGTAAAGTTGGATGTGCAGATGGTGAGACAGATAATGCCTTGGAATTTTTAATCAGATAGATGAGTTCCAATTCTCAGTGGGTTTGTTATATTCACGTATACACAAATACTCTTGGGAAAAGTATGAATCCACTTCTTCTCCACCCCCAGCTATAGGTTAATTAGTAAGACTTGTATCACTAAACCATTATTATCTAAAAAAAATTCTTACAATTTAAAAATA